CCAAACACTAATAAGAAATCCGATCATTGTATTTTCAGCCAGGATGCATAAGGAGGAACCCCACTGTTAGTACAGCTGGGCTCCTAAGCACCTCCTCCACAGATGAGAACGTGTGCCCTGCTGAAGACCTGATTAAGGAAGACAGGCGTGTGAAACCCTCTGTCACTGCTAGCACACTCAACACTTCCCAGGGAGCCATGCATAACACTTTCCATGGGCATTTGTGGAACTAGCTCTTTCCTGACGCAGCACACAATCCTTCACGAATCCACCAGCAAGGGACTCTCTACTGCATCTGATGCTTCCCCACACTTTCCTGATCTGTACAATTATATTTTGACATACAGTACCTATAAAGCTAGTGCGCACAGAGGAAAATCAGCTCAACATGTGGCTGTTCGTGTTATCAGATGAAACATGTTGCATAGCTTAAGAACCTTAGGAACCACATACAGGGAACAGGATCTGTGGTTCATCAGCAAAGAAATTAAAGCTGATGCCTTACTCATGAAGAACCTGGCCCTATGGTTACAAATAGCCACTAAAAAGAATGGGACTTAGAACAGAGCCCTGCAGGACGCCTGAACTGACTAACTTTGTCAAAGAGGACCATTATCCAATCTGAACAAATCGTTTTCATCATTAGTTGCTTTTAAACCACAAATAAACAATTCTAATAAAACCAACAATAATCTTTAATCTATTTAGCTGGATGATGTGATCAATGGTGTCAGAGGCAAAACTGTGGTCCAGCAGGACAAGAATGGATAAGAAACCATCAGAGGCAGTAGTCAGCAGCTGTGGGTTAATCATTAATAATCCCAGCAGGAACTGTTTCTCTACTAGGAAGCACCTGAACACTGATTGAAATGGCTCAGATTAGTGATCTTCTAACTATACAGTTAGAATTCTCTTAATTGAGCAGATTACTTGCTTAATTGCTCAATAATGCACAGCTGTTCCCAATCTTCCCAATATACAGTAAGAACCAAGAACATTTGCAAAAATGGCAGTTAGATATCAGTTAGATTACTCTTTTATTAAGGAGAAAAGTCATTTAAAGGTTCAGAAAAGGCTCCAGATCTTAATGTTTCAGTGAGGATGTGTGAAAACGAGACATGGACAAGAAAAAACAAGACAGTGAGAACAGAATGCAAGGAACAGATGATGGGCTCATTTTATTGATTATTTCAGAAAGCTGCTGAGAAGAGACAGAATGAAACTCTTCCACTTCTCTCAACATGACATTACGTGTTCTCAGAAGTGGAATTACAATTTGTGATAATCCATCCATCTATCAATTTTCTAGCTGCTCTATCCAAATTGTTGGGGAGCCCGAACTTATCCCAGCAAGCAACAGGTACAAGGTGGGAAACTCCCTGGATGGAACGATGTCTGGTATTATCAAAGTAAATAACAGCTCAGACAATTAAGTGCATTGGTCCCTAGAGTGGTGTTCTTTACTAGATCTACATAAGAGATGATGATCTATACTGTAAAAAAAAGGAATCTGGAGTTACTATTCCCATCTCCCATTAGTTTCCCAGAAAACAGGTGGCGGTCAGTGTATTTCTACAGTGCATTGTTTGAAGGCAGTGTAAATCAATAGACAGGCCAGTCTCCCTCTATCTGTATTTAAATTTAAACCCATGAATCTCGGGAAAGTATGAGATTTCATGGCAAGAAGTGAGCAAAGGAGAGCGAAGTATGAATGAGATGTTTCTAGTTTTTATCCAGAGCTAACTGAACTGAAATTGCACTGAGAAAGCAGTAGTAATAATCATCACCTTTATTTTATGTGGCACCTACAAAAGTAGCTTCACAAGGTGATCTAAGAGAGAAACTGTAAGAGTGCAAAGGCATAATGGAGTCCTTAAAGCTGAAGGTCAAAGAGATATGAGTATGAAAAGGTTTGGGAGAGCAAAGGTGAATGAATAGAACTGATGTTACAAAACATAATGGTATACAGTAGGTCTGTGAGCAGATACCGGAACTTCAGGGACATAACTACACCCACTGCTGATAGCAATCAGGTGAAAATGCTAACAAAGGCTTCATACAGGAATTGCAAACCGCTTATCTGTTATTTGCTGACATGGCCGAATGAGATTTCTATCACTCATTTTACATACCCAGCTTCTCCTCCATGCGTATTTACAAGCTAACTCCACCAGCACCTGTGTGTAACAGGAGCCGGTCCAGGCTCCGATGAAGCGTAGTTCAGGACCCAATGCAGACGGTATAATCCGGAAGTAAGTGGAGAAGGACAACAGGGAAAAGACGTAGAGGATCAGGAGGGGTTGACAGACAGGGGGGCGTGACGACGGTGATCCCGTGCTCGGGGGCTGGGCGAAGGCAAACAAGCCCAAACAGTCCAAGGGGAAAATCCGGGGCGCAGTCTGGAGTCCAGGAACCAGGGGATCCATCCGAGACAGACAGACGGGATCTGGAACGGGAACAAGGAGTAAAAACAGGGTAACGAGGCCAGGTGCTCCGAGCCCCGGACTCAGACGGTGAGGGCGCCATAAGGAAGCCTATGCTGTCGGGTGTTTCCTGGACCCGCTGGTAGGCGTGTTTCCTGGCATCCATCTCCCAATGCTGAGCCTGGAATAGCGAGAGCGCCAGGCTTAAATAATAACAGACTAAACAGGAATAATCACATAATCAACTAAAATACGAAAGGGTCAGAGCGCCCTTAAGGGGAGGGATGGCGATCGTGACACTGCTTAGCCCACACCAGATTCTTCTCTCACCATCCTTCTGATTGGCCCTTGTCCCATTTTCTTGTTGCGCACATGGGGATCTGTGCTCTGACCCCCAGCTTCTCTCTCCCCGTCTGTGTTCCTGTGTGTCTCATGGAGAGCAAGCTGGGGTATGAGAAAAAACAAATTCCTAATGCAAGAAATTGCATATAGTCAATAAAGTGAACTCCTCACCTCAGCCAAGCTAACCTCCCTCAACCCAGCAGGCAAAGAATGTCTGTTCCCAGCTCTATGCCACTGCCATACTGCCTGCGCTGTTAGAATCACCTGTTATATACTGTAGAAGAAACGGGTGAAACTTAATTCCAAATATATTACAAATTTTGAATTTCAGTACTCCATCAGCTTTCCTCAGTCCTGTGAAATTTCCTTTTTCCCATTTAGGCAAAGACTTAGCTCACAGACAAAATCAGTGACTTTCTGATATGTTATCCTTGCAAAGTAAGTTGGAGTGATGTGTAATACAGAACAACATCAGACATTTAATATTAGTTATTAAATAAAGATAAATAGCTACGGTAGAATTGTCTCCTATGCAACATGTTTCATCTGTTAACACGAACAGCCACATGTTGAGCTGATTTTCCTCTGTGCACACTAGCTTTACAGGTACTGTATGTCACAATATTCCATAGACACAACAAAAGTGGACTTTAAAGTTGTCTTTTTTATCGTGTGCCATTGGATGAGCTAACAGAATCCCCCCTTCTCCATGAATTAACTATGACATGTTAAACAAAGGGAAATGTCCCCGTGGACATAAATACTCTTGAATAAAGACTCTCTCAAACACTCTTGAGTCTTTGTTAACATGCTGTGAAACAGTGTCAGCCTAGATTACTGCCCAGTACAGCTCCTTTTTTTCTTTGATAAACTAGACGGTAACACAAGCAACAGCACCCTCAGATGGACTTGGTTAAATCTCTGTTGAAGCCGTTATTGGACTGATTTAAAAGACAAACATGCAGTGGGTAAGAATTTACTCAGAGACACTAATCCAGTAATTTAGCAGTAAGTTTCTCAGGTGTCTGTTCCTCATTGGTGTTGTGGTCATGCTTACACAGGGCAGACACTGCTGTAGAGCATTCACCTGCAAACTGATGGCTTAAAGGTTTAACAGAAAAAAACATTTTTAAATGGGCATTCTTTAAAGTTTAAAATACAACTCTAGACTGATCTTTTGAAAAATCATTACCTTCCACTGGCTACCTACCTTCCAGTTATATAAAAACATTATAAGTACACTTCTCCTGGAATGTTGATTGCTATATGGCATGTGTTTCATAATCATTTCACGGTTTTGCAGCTTTAACTTGATGTATTACTGTCGGTTCTTCTGCATCAGTGAAGTGGAACATAGTACTAATTGAAGCAGAGCACTCAGGAATTTGAAACAGCGTGTACCTTTTATTTCTGAGTGCCAGCTTTGAATTGCTGGCCCCATCATTCTCCAGCTGAAATGCTCTTTCCGACAAAAGCTCTATCCATCTGTAGTGTCTCTTCTGCATTATGGACACAAGACTGTGTGACCTGACACATGTCTAATAAAGCACCTGGATCACTAAGTACAACCAACAGCTGCTTTAAAAGTACAGGAGACGCACAGAACTTTTTGAAGTCAAGGAGGTGTTCCTGTACATGAGGTGTTGTCATGACTACCACTGTAATAGTTTCTAGGTCAAGCATTGTTGACTAGTCTAAAAGGCATGCTCATATTCATTGTGCAGCACATAGGCGTGACAATAGTCCTGACATTCCTCAGCTGTTTAAATACAGTATTTAATCATGTGTTCCTGATTTTCTTTGGAAGCTGGGAAGAACAAGCAGCACTGGCTGAATTTCATGCAGATGAGAGATGCTGACAAACCAGCCCTAGGTGACGCCACTGAGGAGAGCGAAGTCATCGGATGGATGTGTTACAAACAGACGTCAGCTAACCTGAAGAAAGTGCACAGCACACTTTCATTGCAATGGCTCTGATTTCCTGAGCCGCTGTTGTGATTTTGCGATTTCTCAGGATGGCTGTGTGCGGTGCTTCTCCAAGTGAGCATTGCAAATGGAGGTATGTGAGGCTGGCAGCTGTGTTCACCATGGGCACGAGATGCAGCCTCATTGTGCAGCTCCTGCAGCTGCAGCAGGATGACAGTGCACGGCCTCAGCTGGGGCATCATTCAACACTGAAGTGGACACTGACAAACAGGAAATGTGACTTAGCCGCCTCATGGTGAGTATCCACATGTTGAATTCAATCTCAAAGTCTGCAATGTAGTCCTGGTAAACAGGGCTTTGATTGACAGGTCCCACAATGCCTCACAACTGAAGCAAAGGCCACTTGAGTTCTGTTTCTCAGTACAACCAGCTCTGGCTGTAGTGGGAAGAAGCGCCTTTAAACCTGCCCATGAAAGGGACAAGTATAAATCTCGCTGTAGGTTGGAGGAAACAGGACCACCTAAAAAAAAAACCATGGGAACGTGCTGAGAACTTGCAAACTCCTTGCAGACTGGCTTTTCTGAGTTCAACACATGTGGAAGCTGGAGTTGACCCTGGAACTGTAAGAGCCATGCTGCCATGATGCCCTCCCTGAAAGTGAGAACTGCAGAGCGCACAGTTTCTGCCAGGAACCTAGAGAATGTGAACTTACATCTGACAACAGACACCACCCTGCAAGAACCAGCTTTGTTTGTAGACCAACAAAAGTGAAAAAGCAGTCACATGTCATGTTCACTGCGAAGTCCTGGTTCTTGACACAGGGAAGCCATCGCTGAGGCTGGTATTGCGTGGGGAGTGAATCCAGCCACCAACAACCCCAGAAGCCACCAGATACCCTCTGTGACTGCGGTGAGCATAGCAGTATCACAATCTGGAGAGCCAGCACCCTGACCAGCGGAGCTGACCTTCACCTCTGTCAGGGTGGCTGGTGTGCACGACTGGGGCAACATCAGCGATCCACTTCTGGAGCCTTCTGCCTGTTCTTATGGTCGTCTTTGTTTTCCTCACTTCTAGAGTGTATCCTGATCTGGCACTGAGACTCAGTCACCCACAGAAACTTCATTCTGGCCCTGGAGGGCTGTGGTGTCTTTTGGGTTTCATTGCACCCTGGACTCTTGATGGCTTCACTGAATTCAGTGTACGCTAAATATAGATCTTTTCCCACCAAAGTCTCCAGGCCTTTACTCAGTGAAGATTGTAAATTACTTAAAAATCCCCGTGTCTTCTCCCATGGTATGAACATCACTGACTGAACTAGTTCAGGAAGATCTGCAGGCCATGTAACCTTAATGATACTTGTTTATATTTCATAGTAAATATATGGCTTGTTTACAATGAAATGTTATTTTTGATTTATATTAGCTGTTTAAGGTTACATTCTTACGACCCCTACTTTTTCAGAGTGCTACATTAACCATAGACAGTGGTATTGCTGCTTTGTAAATAATTTGAGGTAGAGCTACTGGAATAATTTAATAAAGTTTAAATAATGTACAAGGATCAATAATATTTGTATAAAGATGGATCAGATGTGCTTTTATTAATTGGGAAACTAGGAAACGAAAACACAGGGTTACAGTCTTTTGTGACGAATTAAAGCAATCATCAGGTAAGAAGGAGTAACGACTTGTCAAATCTGTAACAGACATTATGCACCTCCACATTAACAGGAGGTAACAGTATAAATGTGTGAAAACATTGTGTTTTACACTTGTGCTATATTTTAGATTACAACCCTGCGACGTTTTACTGTTGTGACTTGTTACGTTCTGGTAAACGCTACAGAACACCACATTAATGATAGTACAACAGAAGACTACAATACAGAAAACATAGTTATATATGACAAACAACTACCGTTTTAATCTGTTAATTTCAACATGCATGAAAAAAATATCCTTTTTGGATTGGTTACGTCGGAACCTTCCCCTCCCATTTGTTTTTCCGAGTCGGAAGATATTAGGTCTGACACCAGATGTTACGGTTACTACCAACAGACCGGCTCTGTAACTAAGGAAGTGTGGTTCATAGGCAGTTTCAAACGTGGATATTTACTGTTTATGTATCAGGTTTTCCATGTACTCGCCAGTAAAGAAAAATAACCTTTGGACGTGTATCGTTCCATTGCAGAATATATATATATTGAACATAGTACGTGCATTGCGGTAATAATTGGAAATGTTTCAATAAAGGACATCAGATGTGATAAAGAATCGTTTTATCTAAATACATTTGCTACATTTTAGATACGTCTAAATATTGCTGTATTTTTAATTGAGCTGAATCGATGAATGTGAAATTTTAAATCCGCAAATCTGAACTGAAATGCTTCCCAATAAATACCAATACACCAGAGGACGATTCCTTGCTCCAACGGTAAGTGAATTAACAGCAGGTTGGACTATTTCAGCCAACACAACCGATTCGTAATTAACAGGTTGTACAAAATATTGAATGTCTAGCATCATAATCAAATCGTCTAGCAGATTAACTACTGTATTCCTTTCAGAACATTTCATTTATTGACTCTATCAGGGCAGTAATACCTTTGTGTTTGTGTGTTATATTTCAACAGTCGTGTTTTGGCATCGGCAGGTCTTTGTTTATGTTCAGCTTCAGTTATCGAAAGTAACGAGATTTTAATGACAACAACAACAATGTACAACAGTGCTAACAAACAAGATGTGGCCTTTTGAGATCAAATTCTGTACGTTCATATGGCTTTCTTGTGCAGTCTGTTTTATTTTTTTGGGGTTTTCATAAAAATATCTGCTCTAAATATCAATCTGACACAGTACACATGCAACAAAAAATTAAAGGTTAAGCGTTACACGTACTGTAATGTCATAAAATTACAATTAATTGAAATCATACAGGAAATCATAATCTTTTGTTTAGGTTTTGGTATAGCAGTTGCTCTTCACACATATGCCCCTATTCAAAGATGTTCAAGCTGAAGCTGTATGAGATATATTAGGTAAACTGTATGAGATAAGGGTCCCTAGTGGAGTGTACTGGAAACATGGTTACACATTATACAGAGACATTCACAACACATTTTATCTCTGGCACACTCCTGCCACGTCTTCCCTTGCCAGGTTTCTATAATCTGCTCCTTCCTTTTCCCACTGTTCAACACAGCTGTTAGCCCCTGGTATTCTCCCACCCAGAGAAATGTATCTCCCACCTGGCCAGCCTCCCTGCCAGCCCTGTCCATCCAAACCAACTCATCCCGGAGTCTGTGACTGGCCTTGTCTTCTCTCTTCCTTGCTTTTCTCAGGCTACTCTTTTACTCCAGTTCCTCCACTGGTTCCCTATTTCCACATGCATCTGATTCATCCACTCTGCTCCTGCCTGCCATCAGTCTCTTATCTCTCCCTGCCTCATCTCACCAATCTCATTTTTTCAGACCACCTGTTCCTTTCTCATTTGTTGAATGAACAATCCTCAGAAATCAGAAGTGAAGCTGAAGACTCATGTATTTATACAGTACCTGCAACCTCTCAGCTCTTCACTGTGTCCTTCAATAACTCTTACACAGTATTGCACTAATGGTTTGAAATTTCAAACTGGAAATTGTACGTACTGTACCAAAGATATACCTGCAGAGTGTTAACATACAGTTACGGTGTTTACAACTGCTCTGTATTCACACTATACACTGGCTTAGTTGTTCTGCTTGTGCAGAACTTGCATTACTCTTCTAAACTTGTCGTAGTTTGTGGAGGGTTATTTTTATTTTGTTTAATTTATTTTTTACGTGCTGAAACTGCATTATTGCTTTGTGTGCTTACAATATAGTGTAAAATAAACAGTGTAAGTTTCTTGGGATGCCTGCATAAGCTAAACCAGTGGTTTCTAACCCTAGTTCTGGGGGAGCACTTCTGTGTGCTGGTTTTCATTCCAGTTGAGCTCTAAAAGCTCTAGTGCTAATTGATGACTTAACTGATATGCGTATTTGCTTAGACATTTAACTGTTTTCTTAATTCTTCGGCATTAATGATGTTATATAGTCTCCCCTCAACTTGCCATCAGTTCTGACTAAACAGCTCTTACTAGGTATAAATTATAACTTTATAACAGTGGGCTGTATTTCAGTTCTGAAACTGAGAAATTGGTACAGAGTAAAAATCCCACTTGATCTTTGAAGAGCTGAACGCAGATATGCATGTACAGTATGTACTGTATATCTTTGTTGAATTCCCCAATGGTGGAGGACCTGGTCTTTTAGTACAGCACCTATCCACTGTTTAGGAAGTGGAGTTGTGTGGCTCTGAACCGGGGGTGGGGGGAGCAAAACTACAGAGCTAATAGGTTGTACAATATACTTTTCAGGTGGGATTTGCCCCAACTGGCAGATCTTTGAAGTGAGACTGTCTGTACAGTTGTATTACATTTTGTTGAACTTTTGATGTCCCTCTGTAGTGTGGTTGATAATTTCAAAGATAGTTGTAAGATATTGAAACTGAATATTAATTGTGATTATGGCACTGTATTGGGAGATTTGTAACAGACTTTTGGTTTCTAAGGTAATTTTAAAATGCACCACCATCAATAAAATTCTGTCAACCATTCAGTCCTCTGCATAAAAAGGTATCTTTTCCAAGTCAGGATAATTTTGCTGCATTAATCATTTCTGTTTAAGCCACTAGTGAATCCCAGAAACGGAGAAAAATATAATTCACTTCAAACATTAAAAATTAACTGGAATTACTCAGTTATATTTTATTCCTAGATTAAGAAAAATAACTTTATATAAACCAAGAGTATATATAAAGTGTGAGTTGCAAATCAGTCCAATAAGATTTTATTCCTTAATTGTATCCAGGTTACTTAATCCTGTTGCAATTGGCCCAGAACATTGATTATCAGCAAAGTAGGACTGTATCTCAGTCCAGTGATGTGGTCGTGTTGTATTTACAATAGTTTATAAAAAAAACATTCTTACCCAATTGAAGTATTTTAAAAAAAAGCACATTTATTCTTATGACTTTGGTATCAAATGATTCTGCATTTTCAGAAATATACACCAGTGTGTTTAAATAATATTTGTTTGAATGCTTGAAAGCTTTATTGTCTTCCCTCGTCTTCACCTGGCAGACAACGGACCTTCTGAAATTGTCTGTGTTGTGTTGGTGTTTCTACAGGTAAACAGCTATAATTTGCAGCTGGGGACCCTGAGCACTGCTGCGCCAGAACGAGTGTCGTTTCAGAAGCCGGTGAGCAATGTCTAGCCTTACTGCGCCA